CTACAAGGCCTGTTGACTTTGCCTGCTTTTGGGGCACAGAAAGAGCTGTATAGCTCTCTGTACAGATACCACTCAGACACACCCCGGCACCTATAACAGGGTTCTGTGTATATTCGAACATACTAAGGAGGTTATTTTTCTTCAAATAAAGTCTATTTTATATGGACTATAACTGAGGCACTCAGCAGACTGAAGTAGTTCAAAGTAGCAGCTGGAGACAGCAGAAGCGACCAGGCTCTCTCTCTCATCTTCACATCTTACCCTCTTCAAATAAAGGAGAAGCACAATTTCATGATCATACTATCTACAGCTAGGTATGGTGATAGTAATTAAGTTAGCAAAAGGAAACAGGGAAACAGTGATTACTCTCAAAGGACAAACAGCTTTCACTGGTGAAAAGGAATGAGGGAGAACATTCCTTAGCTAATTTTTCAGTACATATGTTTCTAAATTCTCAGTAATCCTTACCTCAAAGAACAGGACAGCAACCATGTCATTATAATGAAAACCTAGCTTGTGCTTTGATACTAGGAAATATGTTGAATAAGTTCAGAGACAGCCACCAACCGCAGAACAGAATGTGTTATGGAGATACTGCCAACCATTATGTTGCAAATTATTGAATTTATATTGTCTAAAATAGTCTATTAGAAATGTGAGAAGAAAATATGGTTCCTTTTATTATTTCTCACTGCTTGGCCAAGTATGATTCTCCTACCTCTCTCCCACTCCCAACAGTACTACACAACTCTCAGACACCAGGACTACGCATTAGTCTCAGGAACAATGTTCTTAGCTACTTTACACAAGATGATCTGCAAAAGTTCATTGTATAGCTTCAAAACACTTTGAGATTTATTTTTATTGATGGCCACCAAAAGATTAATACAATAGTATTTCAAGTAAAGTGATGACTATATTGATTGTAGTTGCTAAGCCACTATCCATCATATTTGATAAGTCGTGGCAGTCCGGTGAGGTTCCTGCCGACTGGAAAAGGGGAAACATAACTTCTATTTTCAAAAAAGGAAATAAGGAAGACCCAGGGAACTACAGGCCAGTCAGTTTCACCTCTGTGCCTGGCAAGATCACGGAGCAGATCCTCCTGGAAACTCTGCTAAGGCACATAGAAAATAAGGAGGTGATTGGTAGCAGCCAACCTGGCGTCACCAAGAGCAAGTCATGCCTGACAGATTTGGTGGCCTTCTATGATGGTGTCACAGCGCTGGTGGATAAGAGGAGAGCAACCAATGTCATCTCCCCGGACTTGTGCAAAGCATTTGACACCATTCCCCACGACATCCTGATCTCTAAATTGGAGAGACATGGATTCGAAAGATAGACCACTCGGTGGATAAAGAACTGGCTGGACAGTCACACTCAAAGAGTTGCGGTCAACAGCTCAATGTCCAAGTAGAGACAAGTGATGAGTGGTGTTTCTCAGCGGTCAGTACTGGGACCCGTGCTCTTCAACATCTTTGTCGGAGACATAGACAGTGGGGTTGAGCGCACCCTCAGCAAGTTTGCCGATGATACCAAGCTGTGTGGCGAGGTAGACACACTGGAGGGGAGGGATGCCATCCAGAGAGAGCTGGACAGGCTGGAGAGGTGGGCCTGTGCAAACCTCATGAAGTTCAACATGGCCAAGTGCAAGGTCCTGCATGTGGGTCGGGGCAATCCCATGCACAAACACAAGCTGGGCCAAGAAAGGATCAAGAGCAGGCCTGAGGAGAAGGACTTGGGGGTCTTTGTTGATGAGAAGCTCAATATGATACAGCAATGTGCAATCACAGCCCAGAAGGCCAACCGGATCCTGGGCTGCATCAAAAGAAGTGTGGCCAGTAGGTTAAAGGAGGGGATTCTGCCCCTCTACTCTGCTCTCATGAGACCCCACCTGGAGTACTGCATCCAGCTCTGGAGTCCCCAACGTAAGAAAGACATGGACCTGTTGGAGCGGGTCCAGAGGAGAGCCAGGATGATCAGAGGGATGGAGCACCTCTCCTGTGAGGAGAGGCTGAGAGAGTTGGGGCTGTTCAGCGTGGAGAAGAGAAGGCTCCGGGGAGACCTTATTGTGGCCTTCCAGTACCTAAAAGGGGCCTACAGGAGAGCTGGGGAAGGACTTTTTACAAGGGCATGTAGGGATAGGATGAGTGGGAATGGCTTCAAGCTCGAAGAAGGTAGATTTAGATTAGATATTAGGAAGAAACTTTTCACTTTGAGGTTGGTGAGGCACTGGCACAGGTTGCCCAGAGAGGTTGTTGAGGCCCCATCCCTGGAGGTGTTTAAGGCCAGGCTGGATGGGGCTTTGAGCAACCTGGTCTAGTGGGAGGTGTCCCTGCCCATGGCGGGGGGTTGGAACTAGATGATCTTCAAGGTCCCTTCCAACCTAAACCACTCTATGATTCAAAATGGTGGTAGAATGCTTATGATCATCTTCCATATGGCTTAATAAAAATCTTTTTGGAAAATGTTACTCTGTTTCCATCATCTAGAATGCATTAACTCGGTCATCCTATTAGGTGATTCACCTCACTCCAACTGGCAGCCTGACATAAAATTAGTCCTCAGAGTGAAGGAATAATTTGTTTTTTTGATGTTTTCTTTTAAACATCAGTCTTTAAAGGCAAGAAAGCACTAGGTCAAGACAACCTTTGACGTTACATCCCATAACAACCAAATCATTTAGATGAATCCTCTGCTGGCTAGCCATTCCTTTTCACCTTACAGTACTGCTAACTTTTTTCAAGAAATCACAAGACCGATATCAAAGGTGGTCAAGTACATGGTGGTATTCAAATATAAACAACAACTCCCAAATTCATAAAAATGACAGGACCCACAAACAGCACTTTTTGTACCTATTAGTCTTACAGGAATCTAAACTCTGGCTTGACTTCCTGTGACAACGATTCTCTCCAAGTCTTTTTTTCAACCACAGTAATTCAAAAACCTTCACATTTCTCTTACTTTTTTCCTACTGTTAATTAAAACCCTTGTACATGCTACATACTCTTTTCACTCTTTCAATCAGAAATGGAACAAGGTTTTCCTCAGCCACTAAGCAAAAAATAGTACCCTCCTACTTGAACAACTCTGTGAATCTTTTCTTGACAATATAAAAATTACCTTTCTAATTCTCATTTTCAATTTCTGACAAGGAACTTCTTGCAATATATATTCTCCCACCTCAGTATCTCCATTAAACAAATGACACCTGCCTCAGTACGCTTTTCCATCTGTGCACTTACAGATCCCTTGTGCTGGCTCTTTATTCTGAACTCCCTTCCTACCACAGCCACAGACGGAACACCCTGGGCTGAGAGCTCTGAATGGAGATGATGGACAGGAGCCCTATTCCTCACTCTTTCAGTTATATGAACTATGGTTTCATGCAAACGTTTTCTCCTGTTTGTAGCTTTCTTTCCTCTTCCATAACTTTAACCAATTTTTTAATTTATTTGGTCAATTTTTCAATTTATTTATCCTAAGCACAATGACACGTTCATTTCAAAGCAGCTTTCAAATCTCAGTTGTAAAGTGCCTTGTCAACCATAAATCTCCTATTGTGAAAGAAAAATCCAACATTAAAGCCATGTGTTTTAATAGAAATTTGTATTCTAACAAGATTGAAATTACGGTCTTAGCTTCAGAGTGGAAAAGACTGAACACAAATTCTAACATTATCCTTTGTTGGCTAATTCACCAAACTTCATCTAGATCACGAGAAAATTTATTTAGCTAGTGTATAACATTTGTTGAGAGTAGGAAGAAAATTAAACAAATGATGAACAACATTTTTCAAAAGGGTAGGATATGAATGCTGAACTTGGACCCGTATTACCAAAATAATCTTAGTAACATATGGATTAAAACAATTACTGAATCAGTTTCAAGTAATGCTCCAAGTACAGCATGTACTCCAAATACTGTCTATATAGAGGGTCAAAACCAAATCATTACTTATAAAGCTGGTGGTTTCTGATTTTAAGGAGAAAGGGATTTTATGAGTAGGTGAAAAAAATACTTTTTTTGTGACCATACTATTTTCTTACCATTATTGATTACCTTCAATTCTATATCCATGGGAAAATTTTTCACAACTGAGATCACACACACATAGAAATACACCAAAACCTCAGACTATTCAAATAATCTAGAAACATTTTAGTGAAACAACCTAAGAACTGAAACTCTAGCTCAAACACCTTTTAATGACAGTTACCTCTGTGTGTGTGTGTGATGCATATAAAAAGTAAGCACTAGCGATCACCATTTCATTTTCTCTAAACCATATCAGGAATTAAAATAAACCACACATGGGGTTAAAGCAATCCTGGCCAAACATCGTCAAATATATAACTGCACTTAGCGTTCAAACTGCTGTGTATTTGCCTGTGCTCCAGAACTGTTCTATGAGGTGTCCCCAAAATTTCTTTGTTTATGCTGAGAACAAAACTCAGTCTCTCAGAACTGTCTCCCCACATTCTAACAGCTTTATGTTAATAACGAAGCTCTCCTGACTCAGGCATCGCAGTGACTGGCTGTAACATCACAGGCTGACTGCACAAACTACTTGGGATGACTCACAAGCAGTACGCGTATCACAGGTACTTCAAAACACCAGTTGCTATTCTAATAATTCTGAACTTGAAAAATGCCTTCTGCTTCTTGACCAGAAAACACTAACTATAGTTTTCTGACAAGAGTTAATATTCATTCACTTCTAAGAGAAACAATCCAGACAAATAATAAACATAGGAAACACAGGAGCAATACAACAATTTCTCCCCCCACCCCCACCCCCCTTTCCTCTTGTTCCACCAAACCGAGTAATTAAGTATTCTTTATCAGTTTATGAGGGCAAAGCTACTTTCCATAGGGATACTGCTGCTCTTTCCGATCCTTCTGATTCTTACTTGACTGTGCACCACACCATGTAAGTCAAAACTCACATGATTTTTTTTTTTTTTTTTTTTTTTTTTTTTTTAAAGAAACCTTACCTCTGTAGTGGTCCCAATGTCAGCAGATGGGCTATATGTGCTGGTGTCTGGTGGAGCAGTACCAACACTACTTTTAATTGGAGAGCTAGGAGGAGCGGGTCCTGTCATGGTTTCAGTATAGGCAGAAGATTGATAGGGAATTCCTTTCCTCTGAATTTTATTCCAAACTTTACTTGTGATCTCAGCCAATTCATACAGAAGCTGTACCTAAAAGAAAAAAAAAAACAAAAACAAAACTTTTTTAAGATGAAGTTTTCATGAATTACATGAAGGAAAATCAAAGCCCTCCACTGAGACTTAGAATGTAGCAGAACTGAATTTCTCACTATTTATAATGTTCTGATAAGCAATTACATTGCAATTAAAATAATTAACATCAGCTAGAGTATAGTGATTTTGATAAAAATAATCTCTGCTTTGCCTAAACATATGCTACATAGCTCATAAAAACATAACCAATAACATGGTCTTGTAAAACTTTTAATAATATCAATTTTAGCAATTAAACAAAGGTAATTTCTGATATATTTCATATGTATATACTGCCTTTAGAAAAGGGCAAATATATAAACTATATGAAATATTAACAATGCAAAAAATATTCATTTAAATGGTATTAAAACAATGATCCCACGCAGCATATGACACTGTTCTGTGTTTTAGGAAGGATATCCACTATCAAACTCAATAGTTTCCTGGCATATGTCATTCCAATATCAGAAAAATACTGTTTAACTTGCACATTGTTTGACTCAGTTCTAAGATATTTACACAAGTTTTTGTAAATAAGCATTAATCATGGAATTTGTATGACAACATACTGCAATATACTGTATAAAACACGCTCAGAGAAAACTGCAGATCCACAGCTGGATACCATACCCAACTTGCCGTTATAACAAATGGAAATTCTCATATTTATAAGAACTTTAAGCCTCAGGACACATCTACTCTATGAAGCTGGCTTCTTATGTGGGCAGAACAGATGCAGAAAAACACTGCTGTCAATCCACATTTGATATAAAACAGTACTTGATTTTGTGCGTGAGAGTGTGTGATGAAGTCTCAAAGTACATGCTACAGTCCTTTCTTAAGAGGTGAAGTGCTGGAATTTTATAAAAACCTTCTTAATTCATCTTGGATTTTCTTTTGAAGTTTCAAGGCTTACACTGAGCAGGTCGTATACTTTTTGACAAAATTTTTCCTTAAAGGAGATAAACTCAGTATTTTTTTTTGTCTTCATATACAGAACAATCTGCAAACAAACAATAACTCTGGTTGTGGCAAAATGTTCTTTTAGTCATGCTTTAAAGTATTTTGTATCTGTAGCACTCTGATACGCACTGGCAGCCTTTAACTTACTAATTACAAATTTCTAAGTTTTTATGAGTCGCTTCCACGTAACTCAGGAAGATCAACTAATAACATCCATCCGATTGATTGAGTAATATAACATTAACTTGTGTTAATGTTAATGGTGATGACACTTAGCCTGGCAAAAGAGTCTGTAGAAAATTAATATGATACAGGCACGTATCCAAATAATTCATGCTTCCAAACCCCCCCACCCCCCCAATATTTTTTGGTCAAGAAACCGAAGGATAATTTAAGCTATATTTGTCTCAATGAAGCAAGGCTTCCAAAAATTTAATTATGCTATAAAGGTACAAAATAATCTAAAAGAAGGAATTATGCAACTTCTGTGTTTACATACATGCTCATACACAAAGAGAGTTTTCATCAGCTAATCTAACACAAGACTTTTAATCTTATTGGGGTTGCAACAAGCATAGCCATTAAAGATAATTACTTATGTTATCAGGGAGGTGTTTTTTTTTAAATTGCTCAGGCTAGAATCTCAGCCACTGTTTCAGAGATGCTGCAATTTCAGCAGTAGCCATCTCTTTGAACATCACCAGCCAAGTAGTATGACTCTAATACTCCATCCTGCTCTGAAACCAGACACAAAACAAATTCACTAAATAAAAGGCACACTTTGATTAGAGGGAGATGATTTTCATGGAGATATGTTAAAAAGTATAAAATACCAAAAAGCCTCACAACAAAACCTCATTAAAACAAAAAGAAGAAGGCACATGTCTGTATGTAAATAAAATTTTAAAACTTCAAACAAAGAGCTGAAGTTATGTCTTTGCTAATTTTTAATACACTTAAATTTATTCCATGGTTGTCACTCATTAAAATGGAAGGATTTCTACTTCTCTTGTTGGTTGCACTTTTCAATCATAAGAATTTGTGTGCTGGTTTTGGCTGGGATAGAGTTTTCTTCATAGTAGCTATGTTTTGGATTTGTGCTAAGAGCAGTGTTGGTAACACAGGGATGCTTTAGTTATTGCTGAGCAGTGCTTGCACAGAGTCGAGGCCTTTTCTGCTCCTCATATCATCCCGCGAGCGAGTAGGCTGGAGGTGCACAAGAAGCTGGGAGGGGACACAGCTGGGACAGCTGACCAAAGGGATATTCCATACCACATGATGTCATGCTCAGTATATAAAGCTGGGGGAAGAAGAAGAAAGAAGTGGGGGGACATTCAGAGTGACAGCGTTTGTCTTCCCAAGTAACCACTATGCGTGATGGAGCCCTGCTTTCCTGGGGATGGGAAGATCTGAATGAATTCCTTGTTTTGCTTTGCGTGCCTGCGTGACTCTTGCTTTACCAATTAATCTGGCTTTATCTCAACCCACGAGTTTTCTCACTTTTACTTTTCTGATTCTCCCCCCATCCCACAGCGGGGGCGGAGAGCGAGCACGCAACTGTGTGGTGTTAGTTGCCGGCTGGGATTAAACCACGGCGTTTTGAAATCTATTTCTGATTCTATTGGAAGAGCTAATGTAAGTGTAAGGCCTCTCCCCTTTATAAGTATTTTTGAGCATAACAGTTAATATATAATAATTATTTTTAGTACACTCTATTCAAAAGAAGAAAAATGGTATGACAAAAATAGGAATAACTCTGCCAGTATTTGTTAAGAAAAGTTTCCCCTCTCTCACTGCTTCCACACCCTCCCCCGCAAAACCACACATAACTCAATAAGACCCCACTGACTACTTGGCAAAATCTGAAAAGTTCAATATATTACAGAATTTTATACTTTAAAAATAACACATTACTACAAAATTGAAAACTACAACAAAATGCAATATCCTGGCAATTTTGCACACTGGAAGTATCTATTGAATTTAAATGGATACAACCATCACAACATGGTTTCATATTAAATCTTAATAGTCATACAGTAAAATACTTCACCTTTGCTACCATTTAACAAATTCACTAAGCATCACCTCCTTTAAGGCTATCATCTGTAGAAAAAATACAGCCTGTCATCCTAAAGAGTCAAATTGCATAGTTACTCTACCGTGAATTTATAACTATCAAATGATGTTTATGTAATTGTATTTTCCATTTTCCGTTCTTGAACATCTGGTTAAAGACAACTGATGGGTTTTTTTTCCCCTTTTGCGTAAGTAAAGCAGAAAGGACAAGTAAAGCAGATGTAAGGAAGAAAGTACAGCTCAAGAATCTTCACTAATCTCAAATAATTTGTCTGCATCTTTTTGGTCATTATAACACTTCAGCAAAAAAATAACAACACAGTGTAGAAGGGCACCCTTTAAGACAACAATATTTGGTCTGATATTCCACTGTACAACTTCATTTTATAACTACATTTCACTATACTCGTAATATGATTTACATGGAGCTTGCAATTTAAATTTTTTAGTGCAAATATTTTCTTACAGTTTGGAAAATAAATTATTTGATGACACTTTGGTAGGAAAGCTCTTAATTTGCAACTCCAATTTAGGTAAGGCTTTCACTTCATAACAATGCCATTCTGCTTATAAATTAATACTACTAATGTATTACATATATTAACCATGAGATTAATTGGAGATTAAAAAAAAAAAAAAACAAAACAGAGTTGATCAGACAATTTGCTGGAATTTCACTGAGAGCATACCCATCAAACATACGATACTATTTTGCTACATGAACATCTCAAAATATTTGCCAATTCTCTGAATAGCTGCAGTATCAAGATGAGCTACAGTTCTATGAAAGTTAATACAGAATAAGGCAGGTTTCCATAGGCTGTAAAATTATTGCACATTAATTCATTATACATTATGGAAATACCACAAAGTTGCAAAGTAAAGCTTTCAGAAGTCTTTAAATATAAAACGTAAATTTTTCAGCAAAATCCTAATTTTGACTTTTCCTATTTACACATATATAACACAGTGACAACCCTTTATATGTGCAAACACACCTGTCGTACAGCTCTACAAGTCCGAGTAGACCCTGTTGAGGCTGTTTAATTTTAAATTTTAATTTGTCACGTCCAATGAGAAATCTCACTCTCCTAACCCTCTTCCTGGTGAGTGTGAGCCTATCCAGTACACAAGACAATGGCATATAGCAAATGAGTCAGAAATAACTTGGATGGAAGGCAGTGAATGGGGCAGAAGACCACACACTGAGGATAAAACAAATACATAGTTTAAAACACTTGTTTCATTCATAGAACATGGAATGAGGCACCGGTAAAATTGCATGCGACTGAGAAACATATTGTAATGAGGACACACAAGGGATAACATTAAAATTACACCAGCCACCTTAGATTTAGTATTCCCAGACTTAGGCCATAGGTTCATAAATCTTTACAAACGTGATGTGCTGTCTACCAGATCAAAATTATAATACTTTGTGTTCTTGCCCTTTTGTTCTATTAAATGAAGCAATAAACAGTCCATTTTGTCCATGACATCCTTCGAAGAAAAAATCTTACATATGGCTGAAACTTGGAAGCAGACAGCGTATGAATGCAGAGCTCTACTCAGACCTCAACAGATCTGCAATTCCCAAGAACAAGAGTGTTCTCTCCAGCACCACTGGAAATGTTGCAGCTATCAAGAAAGTATTACTCAAGTTGCAGTCAAGATTACTCAAAATTTGGCATAAAATCCCTATTCTATTTGGAACTACAGCATAAAACCCCTGTTCTATTTGGAACTACAGCAAACTTGATCCAGGTCAGTAAAATCCAGGGTGCACTTTCTGCAAATCTACCAACATCTTTGCCTTTTAGTAAACATAAATGAGGTGGTAACTTCTGTTTACACACATTCATCTGGGCTTTTTTCCTTACTAAAGGATACCATTGCCTAAAAAACATTTTATGCTTGAAGAAATGTTAGTTCTATGAAAATACAGTAAAAAATTACATTAAACCACTTCAATATATGAATCCATGGTGACAGCAGAACAGCACTATAGCATTTAATGGTACATCTGCAATTCATTTCACTCCATCAGCCAAAAGACGCATTTATACTGTAGCTATTACATTTTGAGAAGAGTTTAAATTACAAAACTTGAGAGAGCTTCAAAGAAAATCTTAATCTAAGCACCTTGATCTTGATGGCCCAGTTAAAAAAAAATTAAGATAGAAGAGACCTTCTTCAACAAAATGCAGAACAATTGTACTTAAATCGAGTTATTTTTAATTTCCTTTCATAAATCAATTAAACGTACCAACCTGGGGGTTGGAGCATTTTATTTCAAGGGACTCAAGGTCGACATGGAGGCAGACAACAAATGAGTGTCTGGATTCTGGCCCCGAAGAGAGCAGTTTCTGTGAAGTAACAGCTAAAGTAGAAGTACAGCCCATCGGTTCCACTAAATTAAGTGTCATCTGTTGTCCAAGGAGAGTATATATACTGAAATGATGCAGACTAATAGTCCATGGAAAAGCATCACCTAATGATTAAAAAGAAGGGAAAACAGTTAAAAAATTCCATAATAAAAACTAGGCAATTATTTTCTCAAAACTCAGTAAAGGTCTTATCCTAAACCCCTTAGAAGTCAGCAAGTACAATCAACAACCATTAAATTGATCCCAAACTCTCACAAATAAAATTCCACCATCAATTCCATTCTATACCTTGAAATCTAAACAATAGTAATAAATTTTTTACAACTTTTCAAAAATTGAAATTCATTGGGAATTTTAACCCCAAACTGTGAACAAATGTGTACAACATAGTCTTTAATTTGCTTGATATGACTTTCCTCAAACTGAGGAGTATCCTGAAACCACCCCCCACTTATTTCAGCATATGGATGCCAGAGGCAGTTCCTTACATTATATACTTATATGTGTTTACAGGTTTTAATACTAAAAAGAAGAATTATCTCTCTTCCAAAAATTTACAGCTTGCATCTGAACAGAGTGGTGCCACAGAGTAAAGCCTATCCCAATGCACTGCTCAGGTAAGTGAGACCTTGATCACAGCCTAGCTCATTCCACTGCCTCTGCTTGACTTCCTAGGAACAGAATGGTGATGGATTTTGTTAAAGCAAATTACTACAGACATACATGGAGCACTTTCATTTAGGAGGCAGCCTACCATGAATGGTTATGAAGAATAATCAGTGAGGGAACTAGCAGTGTCCGGCTGAACCACAAAATGGCTGCAACTTCAGTACAACCCGTTTTCTTTAGATTCTCAATAGATGGGGAAGAAAAGGGAAAGTTTCCAAAGCACAACCACAGGGAGAATTATTTGGGTAGGTCTTTAAAAGGCCAACAGGAAGTCTTCTTAGTGAGAGAAAACCTTCAACAGCTCTACCAGCTAGAGCTGAAAGGAACTGAGAACACAGACCATGGAAACTGAAGCAGAATCCTTGTGGTGGGTTTGACCTTGCCTGACCACCAGGTGCTCACCAAAGCTGCTCTATCAACTCCCCTCCTCAGCTGGACAGGAGAGAGAAAATATAACAAAAGGTTCCTGGGTCAAGATAAGTATAGGGAGATCACTCAGCAATTACTGTCATGGGCAAAACAGACTTGACTTGAAGAAATTAATTTAATTTATTGCCAGTTAACACCAGAGTAGGATAATGAGAAATAAGAACAAATCTAAAACCATCTCGCCCCACCCCTCCCTTCTTCCCAGGCTCAACTTCACTCCCAAAATCTCTACCACCTTTGCCCTGGGTCCTGCAGGGGAACGGGGAATGGGGGTTGAGGTCAGTTCATCACATGTTGTCTCTGCTACTCCGTCCTCCTTATACTCAAACCTGCTCCTGCGTGGGGTCCCACACACAGAGGTGCTACTAACACCACTGATGGGCTTGGCCTTGGCCAGCAGTAGGTCCGTCTTGGAGCCAGCTGGAAGCGACTCCATCCAACATGGGGGAAGGCTTCTGGCATCTTCTCACAGAAGCCACCCCTGCACTCCTCCCCACTACCAAAACCTTGCCATGTAAACCCAATACAATCCCACATAGGATAACCGGGTCCCAGAGAAAGAATTTAGGCACTGCAAGAGACACTGAACCAAACCCCAAAGAATGCTCAACAGAAATGAGGAAAATGAGACAATGAAAGATACACGGGTAATTCTCATTTTACCTGAAACAGATGTGGGGTTTTGCTCTTTAGAAGTACAAAAGCATAACAATTATTTCAGGCTTGGGGTGGTTTTTTTTCCCCTCTAAAGAAAGTCTTCATCATTCCATTTATCAGATTTTCTGCTGAGGAATTTGGGCCTTTTTGTCCCCACTTGAATGATAGAGAGTCTGTGCTGAGCACGTGAATTTTCAGTCCACCAAGAGAAACTGCCTGCCCCAATTCAAAGTAACATAAAAGTGGGTGGCTGCAGTCTCAGATTCAAACACAGCAGCCTGGTGAGCATCCACCAACCTCAGCCTGGGCTGAAACAGTCTTCATCTTTGTACAGAGCACATTCATTTGGAGGAAGCGAAGGAGAAAAGTTCTCCTGCCTATATCAAAATTCAGTAGATTATTTGGTTTGAGGTTTAATTTTCAAGATTTGGACCTGGAGTAATGGGTAAGAAGAGTCCAAATTAATCTAATGCCCTAGAAACATGGGAGCCAGTCTTGAGAATCAGAACAGAAGATGGCAGATAAATACAAGTGTATACTGGGATGGGCCCTTGGAGTCTCAAAAGGCAATAAAAAATTCAAACTAGTGTATTTAAACAATATACGGAGAGTGTGTGCTGCCTAGTGTGGCCTATGGTCAACACGGTCCTGCTGAGAAATCACATCACTAAGAAATAGCACCAATTAAGCTTTAACTGTGATTAGTTAAAAGAAACTTCAGAAAAGTTTTGAAATTAAAATAAAGCTGGATCCAAACATCTTTTTACCATATTATTTTAGTAAGAGTTCTATTGTTTCTTCTGCAGGTGGCACCAGCAATAAATTTATATGGTCAGGAGTATACATCAGGAGAGTCTGTGAGTCTCATCTGAAGAAAGAACTGAAAAATTCAGTAGTTTATTTTGAAGCTATTGCATACTGAGGAATTCAGCTCAGCCAAAGTAATTTGAAAATAGTTTGGAAAGGTTTCAGATTAGAAATTTAAATGTAGTTAGCAATCTGTATTTTTTCCAAGTTCAGTCAGCCAAGAAATATTAATTGTAATAGATGGAAAAAATTCAAATGCAAAGTCAACTCTAGTGACATGTTTCTCATTACTATGCATGAACTTTGTTTTTCTCTGTGACCACCACAGTAAATTAACATAGTTTATATTTCATGGATTAGAAAGAAAGAATCTCCAAAGAAAATACTGAATGTTAACTCTACTGTGCTGCATACATTATCTACCTTAAAAGGAAAATACCAATCAAATTTTACCAATGTACAGAAACCACAGAATACTGAACAAACACTGTAGTAAAGATATGGCAAATTTACAACTATAAGATTTCCCCTTACGTCATGAGTTACCTCTTCTTCAGCTCCATTCACACTATGTGACCATTCTAACATTATACTGCAACTGTCCACCTGATAAATCCTTGTTTTGTTGTTGTACATACATTTGATTTATTGTTTTTTAAAAAACTATACCTGCATTACTTTGCTGACTGGTTTTATGAAACTATTTAAATAATTAATTCAAAGTGTCCAAACATCAAAAGCAACACTGTTTATAGGATTTATTTCAAAAATTATTTATTAGTAGGAAGGAAGGAAAAACTCCTAGTATGTTGAAGATTCTGGTTAATTCCTGATCTACCACTCTCATAAATCCTTATTTTTGATTTCCTCAAACATCACTACTGATGTAAAAAAACTTGAAAATGTATTCAAAATCTATTTCAACTGCTTTGAAGACTTCTTAAGTTTATAAATACCACTTTCAGATCTTTGGCAGTTGACTGACAGAAAGACCAGACAATTTTCAAAGATTTGGCTTTCACCATCGCCAACTGCACCCTGGGCTGCATCAAGAAGTGTGGCCAGCAGGTCAAAGGAGGTGATTCTGCCCCTCTACTCCACTCTCGTGAGACCCCACCTGGACTACTGCATCCAGCTCTGAAGTCAACATAACAAAGACATGGACCTGCTGGAGTGCATCCAGAGGAGAGCCATGAGGATGATCTGAGGGATGGAGCACCTCTCCTATGAGGAGAGGCTGAGAGAGTTGGGGCTGTTCAGCGTGGAGAAGAGAAGGCTCTGGGGACATCTTATTGCCGCCTTCCAGTACCTAAAGGGGGCCTACAGGAGAGCTGGGGAAGGACTTTTTACTAGGGCATGTAGTGATAGGACGAGGGGGAACAGCTTTAAATTGGAAGAGGGCAGGTTTAGATGAAACATTAGGAAGAAGTTTTTTACTTTGAGGGTTGTAAGGCACTGGCACAGGTTGCCCAGAGAGGCTGTTGAGGCCCCATCCCTGGAGGTGTTCAAGGCCAGGCTGGACGTGGCCTTGGGCAACTTGGTCTAGTGGAAGGTGTCCCTGTCTATGGTAGTGGGGTTGGAACTTGATGATCTTCAAGGTCCTTTCCAGCCTAAACCATTCTATGATTCTATGATCATTTATCTGCTATTTGCAATAGTTTAGCAAGACTCCTTTCCTACAGAGTGTTTGAGTTATTTTTCCAATATGTATAATTTCAAGTTTTTGCTGTATGCAAACACTTTCTCTGGTAGTCACTTGATGCACTTTTTTTCTTAGCTAGAGTTAATGTTCATTATAAGCTTTTCCATATGCATGACATACAATATTGACAAATGTACTTAACTACTGATAATTGTTATATGTTTGCTCTCACTTTTATATGACACTTCTCTTTATTTTAAGAAACAGAGTGCAGAAGTGGCAGTTGTAGACAATGTTGCGTATACAATGTTGACAGTTGTATAAAAGAGAAATTTTGTCTGTTTAAAATTAGTGGTGGTAGGAGCGATCATGAAAGTTTTATCATGTATATGATCTGTGATCTATTCCCAGGCTTGCTAAAGGTATCCTTTGCAATGTCCAAAAAGCATCTTGATTACTCTGTCTTCATTTCTCTTTCTGTACCCACATTGCAGGGTCTTTACATGGATTTCCAATGTGCTCACATTCTCATGTGACGTGCAATGTTTAATAGATATTGCAATCATTACATGTTAGGTCACTATTTTGCTTCCTCCCAGTCATGCAACAGGGAAGCAGTCGTATGGCTGCATATCCTAGGTACACGCAGTCGGAAGCCCTAAGGGCCCTGCCCAAGTCCACAGCTTGCTTTCAGCAGATGAGACTCAGTTCCACAGACCTCAAATGTAAGCACAAACACACAGGCTTTTCTAACTTAAACCCAGCTACTAGAGAGCTCTAACAGCTGAACATAACATTAAGAAGTTGTTTATGCAGAACTTCATTGCTATTCAGGCACTGAAGAATGTCACTAGAATGTGAGAACTAATTTTATACGGTCATTAAACATAACAGATAAGT